ATTCAAGGTGTGAGGCCAGTTTGAGACCTTGTCTAAAAGAAAGGGGAAGCAAAGAAAATGTAGAAGGTTCCAACCTGAACACCAGGTGCGAAACTGTGAGTCAGTAAGGGGCCTAGCTCATTCTGGGTGTTGCAAGAAATGGGAACCCTGGGCTGGAGAGATGGCTCAGTGGTTAAGAGCATTGCCTGCTCTTCCAAAGGTCCTGAGTTCAATTCCCAGCAACCACATGGTGGCTCACAACCGTCTGTAATGGGGTCTGGCGCCCTCGTCTGGCCTGCAGACATACACACAGACAGAATATTGTATACATAATAAATAAATAAATAAATAAATAAATAAAAGAAGTGTTTGTGTGCACACGTGTGTGCGTTGTGTCTGTGTGTGTGAGTGTTTGTCTGTGTGTGTGGTTTAAATTTAAGATGGCGTCTCATGTAGCCCATGCTGGTCCCTACCTGAGGATGAGTTTGAACTTCTGATCCTCCTACCTCCACTCCTGAGTGCTGGGATTCCAGGCATGTGCCACCACACCTGGGTTACTTGGTGCTGGGACTTGAACCCAGGACACTTCACACAGCCTAGGCAAATACTACAGCACCTAAGCTACACTGTCAGCCCATAAATGGATAAATAAATAGGATATACATGAAGATTATTTTATGTATGTGATTGTTTTGCCTGCATATATGTATGTGTACCACGTGTGTGCCTGGTACCCATGGAGGCCAGAAGAATGTGCTGGGTCTCCTGGAACTGGGGAGTTACAGATGGCTGGGAGCCACCATTGTGCTGGAAGTTGAACCTGGGTCCTCTGGAAGAGCAGCCGGCGCTCTTCACCTGAGAGCCATTGCCTAGAAATTCACATTTTAATAAGTTTGTTATGTCCTGTGAGTTATGTCTCAGACCCCAAAGGGCAGCATTGTAGCAGGACTGTTGGAGGCATTCCTCAGAAACCTAGGAGATGGGTTTACTTGGCCATACAGTTATGGTTACATCTCAAAGCTCCTGGTCCCCTATAACATGTGCTTGTCGTGAATACCAAGCACCCACATGCTCTTTATAACCCCAAAGGCAATTTCTCCTGCCTCACTCTTCTCTCTCCATTCTTCTCTCTGTTCCCAAGACAGCCTTGGCCCTGGCCAGTCTGCCTGCTTCTCTGCTCCCCACCTCAGAGGGAGCTATGGTATCTCTGGACTTCCCCAGATGCCGTAGGCTGTTCTCTCTCCCGTCTTTATGTATTTACCTGTATTTCCAGTGCACCCACGGAGCAGTCCAGTCTGTGACTTCACTGTGTCCCAGATTACAGAGTGTTAGTTACTGCCATGCCAACAGACAGAGAGAGGGTTAGAAGTGTTGATTTCTAGGTTTCAGAGGGCTCCCAAGCCGTGGAGAGGTTCATGGAGGCAGGTACAGCTCTGTCTATGGCAGCGAAGGTGTGAGCCAGTGCTGGGAACAATCTTTTTCTACACTGTAAATATGTATTACTCTCGTTGGTTAACAAAGAGCTGACTGGCAGGATTTTAGGGACAGAGAATGCTGGAAGAAGAAGGGTGGAGTTTCTGGGTTCTCGAGCCAGATGCAGAGGAAGCAGGAGACAAGCATGCCATGCTGAGAAAAGGCACCACCACATGGCCGAGGTAGAACATAGATAAAATATGGATTAATTTAAAATGTAGAAGCTAGTTAGTAATAAGCCTAAACTACTGGCCGAGCATTTTTATTAAGTCCCTGTGTGGTTATTTGGGAGCTGGTTGGTGGTCCTGATGAAAAACACCTATTCTGGCCCATAAGGCTCAGGTTAGAAAATAAAGACCATAGGCCAAGACCATGCACCACCTTCAAAGTTCTGGCCCCAGTCACCCACTTCTCTTGGTCATGAAGCCCCACTTCCTAAATGCTCCATAGCCTTCCAGACAGTGCTACAAGCTGAGGGCCAAGCATTTAAAATACGATCCTGTAGGGGACTTTTCAGACTCACATTACTTAGGATAAACATGCTACATTGGTTTAGTGGGTAAAGGTTCTTGGGGCCGAGGTTGGTGGCCTGAGTTTGATCTCTGAAACATACAGGGTGGGAAGAGAGAATCAGCTTCCACTAGTAGTCCTCTGACTGCCACACCTGTGACACACACACACACACACACACACACACACACACACACGCACACGCATACACATGAATAAGTAAATACATGTAAAACACACAAACATAACCCTTTCGATTTTATTTTTGAGCTGGAGTTACTAGGTAGCCCAAGTTAGCCTTGAACTTCAGATTCTCCTGCCTCAGCTTCCCAAGTGTTGGGGTTACAGTTGTGCTTCACTAGCAGAATCCCTATCTGTGGAGACAGAGACCTTTCCACAAAAATGACAGGTAACGAGGGGCCTTTCCTGCTCAGGTGGCAGCCTTGAGGAAGGGCTAGCGTTCTGTGTGAAACAGCATCACGGGAGGGCGCAGTGGCTGGAGAGTAGGAGGAGGGAACCTAGAGGCAGCACAGAACGGCTGTGTCACTGGGCCTTGGGTACTCTGTGAGGACTTGCCTTGTAACTGGAGACCTGTAGCTGGGGCAGGGCTCTGAGCATGGAGTACTCTGACTATACCCTTCCTGTTCTCCCTCTGGACAAGTTTGGGAAGTAGCCTGTCAGGTGTGGGTAGGGAGGGGAGCAGGCCGTGGGGGTTGTAGAGACAGGAGGTGGTGGAAGCTGGACCAAGCTGAGAGCTGAGAAGGGAGGCGAAGGCGGATATATAATATACATATAATGACCTTGAGACCCTATAGCAAGAGGAGTCTGGCAATTCCCTAAGGAATTGGAGGGCTCTGTCCAGGATCTTTGCAATCTGCTAAAGGTGGAAGAGGAACAGGTGCAGGTTAAGCAGGATGGGCAAACCTTGTTCTCCGTTCTTTCCTCACCACCTCATCCTAGACTGACTGGAGACGGGAAAAGGAGTGAGCTGCAAGGTCTTTGCCTGCCCAGGGTCCGCATCAAGTTACCAAGTTACAGGGAGTGAAGGGCACCCTGGGCCCACTATCTTATCAGTGAGTTTCAAACACAAACTGACAGTCAAGGTCACAGTGAGGCCCACACACTCAACAAACAGTCCCTGGGGCCAGCACCGGCTCTCCTTGGGCTGGGCGAGAACACTCCGGTGCCTAAGTAAGGGATCTGTTTCGCGGGAGTGTAGAGCGGGGATGAATTATCACCAAATGCTGACAACTCAGGGCTTTGGTGGAGAATTTGGTTCGAACGGTGAGGCCTGAAATGTTACTTCTGTGTTGCAGTGACCAGACACGTGACAGAAACAACATACTGAAATTTCTTTCGACTCATGGCTCAAAGGATCCAGTCCTTAGACACTTGGCCCTGTAGACTGGGGTAGAACATCATAGAGGAGTGTATATGTGTGTGTTACCAAGGCTGGTATATTCAGTGCATATACTAGGCACTGAACCACACACCCCAACCCCTCACTGGGGGATTCTAGGCAGGGGCTCTACTTCTGAGCCATACCTCAGTCCCTCACTGGGGGATTCTAGGCAGGGGCTCTGCCATTGAATAACAGCCTCAGAAATGAACATTTTGAAAAATAGAAGGCCCTCAATCCTGAAAGAGAAAACAACATGAGGAAGAAGGATAGAGCAGGAGTCTGAGCCTTATCAGGCCTTGGAAATGTATATATTCGGGAGACTCTCGGTCAAAATTTTCCTATACTCTTTGCAATGTTCTCTTTCTATTTAATGGTGTCTTAGGGAAAGAAAAACATATCAAATTCTGACCATTGTTCAAAAACAAGCTTGCAACTCAACTTTCCCCTGTACCTCACTCAGACTTGGTGAAATCCACACTGCTGACTTCTACAGGGACTGCATCCTAGAACACTTGCCCTTCTCGAAGCCTTGGCCCTTGAACAGTGTCAGGAGCTTCCCATCAGCCTGAAGCACAGCCCTCCCCCATCCCCACCCCATGGGCACTGCACACTTGAGATAGACAAAGCCATAAAGATGGTGCAAATTCAGGCTGCCTGTAGCAGGCATCGTCTTTAGGTGGCTGGGTGTAAGTAGTTGGGTGTAGGAGGTTGGGAGCCCTGGAAGAAATTGTGGGGGTGTGAACAATGGCTATGTAGGCACAGAAACAGGCAGTGAAGGTGTGGACTCAGACGTAGGCATTTAGGAGCTGTGCATATTATTTCAGATTGATATGATAACTGTGTAGATTCAGCCTATGCAACGGCTGTTGTGGGCTCAGGCGCGTGTGATAGGTATGGGGCTCAGGCAGTGGCTGTGCCAATGCTGGCTCAGGCAGCGGTTATATGTATTTACGTTTTGGCAGTGACTATGGGGCTTCAGGTCCGAGTTGTGGGCATCCCAAAATATATGTTCTTTTCTAGGCTGTTCACACTTAAAGATGAGGTATGTACTGACGTGATGCTCTGAGAAGGACACATGGCTTCTGTGCTCCTACCCAAAATGAGCAATCTGAATCTCCCACGAAGATCAGTGGGTGAAAACCAAGGGGAAAAGCCACAACATGAGACGTGTTTCCTAAATGCAGGAGTCAGGGAAGCCAGAGAAGACAGAAGAAAGGAAGAGGATGGCGGGAGCTCACGTAAGGCACAGTCTGGACCAGCTCCCGGACAGCAAGGACTTCAGTGGAAAGCTGGGGAGGGTCAAGCAAATTTTTGAAGTTGTTCTCTTGAATGTACTTTATCCAAAAATGTCCTTATTTGCCACACCTTTAATCCCAGCACTCCGAAGGCAGAGGCAGAGTTCAAGGTCAGCCTGGTTTACAGAGCGAATTCCAGGACTCCAAAGTTACAGAGAAATCCTGTCTCAAAAACACAATAACAAAAAAGTCCTTATTCATGAGCAGCAGTTGCCTGAATATAGTTAAAAAGCATTTTGTTTCTAGCCAGGCATCCCTGTAGCCCCAGTGTTTGGGAGATGAAGGCAGGAGGGTTAGGAGTTCAAGGTCATGTGCCATAGGAAAGAGACCAACAGGCTTTCGGTCTGTCGGAGCTTGGCTGTTCTCGACCCGCGGCGAGGCTGGCGCACCGCAGCCATGACAGAGGCTGATGTGAACCCGAAGGCCTATCCCCTCGCAGATGCCCACCTCACCAAGAAGCTGCTGGACCTTGTTCAGCAGTCGTGCAACTACAAGCAGCTTCGGAAAGGAGCCAATGAAGCCACCAAAACCCTCAACAGAGGCATCTCTGAGTTCATCGTGATGGCAGCAGACGCTGAGCCCTTGGAGATCATCCTGCACCTCCCACTGCTGTGTGAAGACAAGAATGTCCCCTATGTATTTGTGCGCTCCAAGAAGGCTCTAGGGCGGGCCTGTGGGGTCTCCAGACCTGTCATCGCCTGTTCTGTTACCATCAAAGAAGGCTCTCAGCTGAAGCAGCAGATCCAGTCCATCCAGCAGTCTATTGAAAGGCTCCTGGTGTAGGCCTGTGGCTCTGCCCTTCCTGTCTGCTCCCACCCTACTCTGTATCATACCGTCTGTTAGCATGTAGTGTTTTCAGCCAGTTTCTATTATAAATATTGTACTACGTCTGGTTTTTGTATTTTATAGTCTTCCAGGGTTGTTCTGTCCCATCTCTCCACCCTCTCCTACCATTTTTAATCTGTTTCACTTACACTAAGCAAAATGATATCTAAAGCAGGTGAGAGGCAGGACGGCACAATTTAACAGTGGGAAGAACCAGGAAACACCTAAGCCAAGGATAGTGTCTGCTTCCATCTGCAAACTCACTCCTCTGCAGGACAAGATGACAGTAACACTCGCCCCTTGCACCTTTGCATAGGAGATCTCCATATATGCTACCATGACTGAAGAGCTTTCAGCAGCCCCTCCCACCCACCGTCATTTGAAGAGAAAGTCTGATAATGTTAAACTTACGTCCAAGTGCCATTTATTAATGTTGTGTTTTTGATATGTGTAACCTTCTATTCTCACCCCATTCCCTACTGAGGGTATCAAGGCAGTAACAATTCAAAGGGATGGTCTGCAGACTCCTAGGCGGCCTGAGTTTGACTGCCTGGATCTTGAAGAGTGACAAGGACAGAATAGTTGGAATAAAGAATACCGGGGCTGGAACTCAGAGCAGAGACAATGCTGTCAAGGACATTCTGCCCTTCATTGAATGGGGATTTCTTGTGGGGCTGTTTGACACCCACTTTGAGAGCCCTATTTTGAGAGCCCTATCCCTTTCCTCCCTCAACATGGGTCAGATGTATTCTCTGTCACATGAAGAGCGCAAATAATGTTGTTCTTTCTTGAGCATCCTAATAAATATGTTCATATTACATTTTTTTAAAAAAAGAAAGAGACCGACAAACCCAAACAAACAAAACTTCCTGTATACAAGTCTTCTGAATAATTCATTCAAAATAAAATTGAATTTTTTTGATTGGTTGATTAATCCATCAGTCTATTGATTTGTATCTATCTATCTATCTATCTATCTATCTATCTATCTATCTATCATCTATTGCTCTATCATTTGTCTTTCATCTATCATTGTCCTCTTTATATATAGATATATAGAATAAAACTATATAGATATATATCACTTATCTATCCATTAATCTATTTAACACAAATCTACAAAATTGTTAAAATGTTCATTTTACTGTTTCTATAACTTGCAGATCTGAAATAGCTAAATATTAAACAACATTAATATTAGCTTATCATATTAAAATTTACAATACCATAATGACTTGAAGACTTGAGAGAAGAGACAGCCAGTGAAGTACAGGCTAAAGATGGCCATGCCATACTGGCAGAGGTCCGCAAAGTGTCTTAGCCAACCATCTGCTGCCAGCGATGCTGGTTGGTCCCCCACTCGCACCCTGTCTGTGACTTTGCTTGCAGACATGACCCCCCACCTCTCACAGCTTCCACAGGCCCTGAGTATGTTGGGGACAGAGGCTGATAGGTAAGGGTGGGGGTTTGAAGACGATGAGAGGCATCTGAGCCATTCCAAAGAGCGAGATTTCCCGAGAGGCTGCTCGGTGCCCCTGCTTGTGAACGGCCAAATGAATAGAATACAACACCAGATTGGAACAGGGCGTGTGGTTTGTGGCAGTGAGTGGAAATGCCGTGGTACTGCAGAGCTTCGGAGAGGACTCTCAGAAAAGGCGGCGACATTTGCAATGAGACTCGAAGGAGACGAGAAATTGCCACATAGATCTCTGGAAAGGGGGCAGATGGTGCGCCCAGTGCCAAGGCCCCGAGGCATGAATGGCCTCGGCCTGCCCAAAGCAAACTGTGTATTGAGGGATTGAGCACAGGAACTGAGATGGGGAGGCTCATAGGGTAGGCCTCGTAGGAAATTATAGGAGTGGTGTGTGTGTGTGTGTGTGTGTGTGTGTGTGTGTGTGTGAAGCTTGTGAGTCAAGGAACGACACAAACGTTGGCATGCCTGACTCAGATGAGGGTCATCTGTGTTCCGGAATCTCACAGCTGTGCCGACAGCATGCCTGTCTCCTCTTGGGACTCCTGGAGTAGGGTGGGCATCTTTAGCCAGAGGGGTGTTGGGGAGTTCAGGTTGCCCACCTCTTGCTTCCCCAGGTGACCCGCTTCCAAGGAGGACGTGGCCAAGGAGATTATGTTATCAGTTACACCTACACTTGCCCTTGGAGACGTGCCCACAATGGGAGGCCAGAGCAAAAACTGCGCCAAAGGTCCTTCTGTTTCCTGAGCCTAGCCCCTCACCACTGCCCCCAGGGATCCCTGCCTGGGATACATGGAGGGTCTCTCAGACTTCCTGACACCCAGCTCAAACAAGGGCCGTTAGATACAGCCTTTCCCAGTAAGCACCTTTGTTTCTCTGAGCAGATTGGGGTGGGGACGGGAATGGTTGGAGCTGTGGGCAGAAGCTAGAGGTTGAGTATGCAGCAGGATCTTGCTGAAGCCCACAAGCCTGTTCCCTGTCTCCTCACAGTGAGAATGATAGCTAAGATATGATGTCACAGGTGACCGTGCACATGCTTTAGGGATCTGCCTGCTCCTGACTCGACCATGTCCTAGACTAGGGTTGAGCAAGTGACTTGACCTCTCTGTGCCTCAGTTTCCCCACCAGTAATGGGCATTCCTCACCTCAAAGGGTTTCTGGAAGGTTAAATGACTGGAATGTGAAAGCCCTCAACACATTGCTGGCATGAAGTGAGCACCCAGTGTTTGCTCCTCTTTTTGTTGATGTCTGACTGATCTGAGTAACAGGTGGCAATAGGGTTGGGCAAGTTGGGACAGCTCAGTAGAAAACGTCTGAGCTGCCCAAGCCTGAAGGTTACCCCAAGGAGCCTCATAATCAGTTGTAGTCAGCTGGTTCTGCTCCACCCCCACCCTCCCTGGGTATATCAAGCCTGGTCTAGACCCTAGGTTCTAGAGACCAAAGAGGGCAGAGCACCAGGCACCATGGGAAAGGCAGTGAGTGGCATCTGGGGAGTGTTTGGGGCGTGTGTGTCTGTGTGTGTGCACGTGAGTGTGTGCAGAAACGCAGCACCTGACCTCTCCTTTGCTCCATCTCATCCCCAGGAGAACTATGAACTGTACTCAGTGGAGCTGGGGTCTGGCCCTGGTGGGGACAAGACCGCCAAGATGAGCAAGAAGAAGGCAGGTGGTGGGGGAGGCAAGAAGAAGGAGAAGCTGGAGAACATGAAGAAGGAGATGGAGATGGTGAGCATGGGGGCTGGAGCCTGGCAGGATTGAGGTGGGGACTGGGAGCTAGGCAATGGGCAGGGCGGGGCTGTGACAGCCAGACAGTGAGGGTCCTGTTCCATCCCCCAGAACGACCATCAGCTGTCAGTGTCTGAGCTGGAGCAGAAGTACCGGACCAGCGCCACCAAGGTGAGCTAGGAGTGGGTGGGTATAGTGAGGGGGAAGATGGATGGGGAGAGAGCAAGGTGAGAAGGACACCCGAGAGCAGTGTGTGCATGTGTGTGTGTGCGTGTGTGTGTGTGTGCGGGGAGAGAGCAAGGTGAGAAGGGCACCCGAGAGCAGTGTGTATGTGTGCGTGTGCACGTGTGCATGTGCACATGAGCATACGTGTGTGCGCTGGGAGGTGGGAATAGATGAAGAGAAAGGGGGAGATACAGAGGAGAGAGAGAGAGAGGAGAGGCATGGAGAAGAGGTGAAGAGAGACCTATGTAGAGAAACAGAGGAAGGGGAGAGGGAGGGAAAGATGGAGAGGAAGAGAGCAGTTAGAGATAGGAGAGAGAGAGAGTGATAAAGAGAGAGGGGAGAGAAGAGAAAGATGGAGGGAGAGAGGAAAGGGGGAAAGAGGAGAAAGAAGAGAGAAGGGGACAAGAGAGGAGGAGAGGGAAAAGAGACAGGATGAAGGCGAGACCTTGTGGCCTCCACCGTCACCACACCTGCTTGTCCCCAGGGCCTGACTGCAAGCCTGGCAGCTGAACTGCTGCTGAGGGATGGGCCCAACGCGCTTCGGCCCCCTCGCGGCACCCCTGAGTATGTGAAGTTTGCCCGGCAGCTGGCAGGCGGTCTGCAGTGCCTCATGTGGGTGGCTGCTGCCATCTGCCTCATTGCCTTTGCCATCCAGGCCAGTGAGGGTGACCTGACCACAGATGATAACGTGAGTGGAGGGTGCTTCAGGGCCGGCATGGGGCACAGTGAGACCTAGGAGACTGTGACACTGAGCCCAGGACTCACAAGAGATGGGCTGTAAAATGAGGATACGGGAACGTTATGATGCAATTCTGAGACCTGGATGGAGGATGGAGGGCAACACAGGTTACAAGGGACATGGAGGATGACTCTTGGGTGGTGGAACATGGGTAGGAAATGGAACTGGAAAATGTAAGATATGAACCTGCTAAGAAGAGGAGATGAGGATATAGGACAGACCAAGGACATGGGACAGGGGACACAAGGACTTGGCCTGAGAGACAGGGACACTAAACACCAGACACACCACAGAGAGACAGAGCAGTAGATATGAAAACATTGGTAGAGGAAATGGAGATGTAAATAGGACATTGGATATGTGTCAGGGACAGACAGAGGACATGGGATGACGTGTGACACCGGACATGGACTTGAAAAGTCATAAGGTCAAGTGACATGGCATTGGTACTCAGAGGTACACAGACTTGGCATTTGGGACATGGAGATACCAATCATGGCCTAGATCTGCAGCACAGACACAGGGCATAGGGACCAGTGGGCACAAGGGCACAGGGTGGCATATGGATTAGGAAAAACAATATGAAACGTGGGACATAGAAACATGAGGAGACATGACAGATTCAGGACTTAGGGGAGGCAGGAGTAGACCAAGAAACATGGAACAAGGACCATATGTGGACATGGGAGATCAGGAGCCAGGGACTATGGTTTAGGGACATGGACACAAGACGCTGAAGATGCAAGGCAAGTGAATTTGCATTTATAGAAAATGGGGACAGGAGCTTGGGTCACAGGAATAGCACATGAGGCTTCCTGGTAGAGGGAGGAAACGCCTCAAAACACCAGGGGACTCGGGAAGAGTGACAGTGGCCTTGAGGAAGGGGCTTCTCACTCCTGTAATAAAACCTTTGTGTATCTCACTCTGCAGCTGTACCTGGCGCTGGCGCTGATCGCTGTGGTAGTAGTCACTGGCTGTTTCGGCTACTACCAGGAGTTCAAGAGCACAAATATCATCGCCAGCTTCAAGAATCTCGTGCCCCAGGTGGGTGCTCCAGCTGGCCACCTCTCTTCCGATTCTAGTCTCCAAGCCCCCCCACCCCAGCATCTCCTGCCTTCTCCAGGGTGCCCAGCCCCACCAGCCCCAATCTGTCCTTATTTATGGCTTCCATTTCCTTAGCTAGTACCTCAGCTTTCCCCAGTTTTCACCTCCCATGACTCCATGACAGTAAGCAACTTCTCCCATCCAAGTACTAACCAGGTCCGACCCTGCTTAGCTCCAGAGATCAGAAGAGATTGAGCGTGTTCAGGGTGGTATGGCCGTAGACAACAGTAAGCAACTTCTATTGCCACCCTTACCCCACAGCAAGCCACTGTGATCCGAGACGGGGACAAGTTCCAGATCAATGCGGATCAGCTTGTGGTGGGCGATCTTGTGGAGATGAAAGGCGGGGACCGTGTCCCAGCAGACATCCGCATTCTGTCGGCCCAGGGCTGCAAGGTGGACAACTCCTCTCTCACTGGAGAGTCTGAACCGCAGACCCGCTCACCTGAGTGTACACATGAGAGTCCCCTGGAGACCCGCAACATCGCCTTCTTCTCTACGATGTGTCTGGAGGGTCTGTGAGACATTGCAGTTCTGTCCTGAAGCCACACAGCCTCCACACACCCCCAACAGCCCCTTTTCTGTCTTCCGTGACACATGCCACACGCCTCCCCACCACAGAGCACTTTCCTGATGCTGCCCACCCCACCCTGAGCTCCCCTCTTGTTGCCACTGCAGGCACAGCGCAGGGCCTGGTGGTGAGCACAGGTGATCGCACCATCATTGGCCGCATCGCATCGCTGGCCTCGGGCGTGGAGAATGAGAAGACGCCTATTGCGATCGAGATTGAACATTTCGTGGACATCATTGCGGGCCTGGCCATTCTTTTTGGTGCCACATTCTTTGTGGTGGCCATGTGTATCGGCTACACCTTCCTTCGGGCCATGGTCTTCTTTATGGCCATTGTGGTAGCCTATGTGCCCGAGGGGCTGCTGGCTACCGTCACAGTGAGTAGGGGAGACAGAAGGAGGTACAGGGAGCAGAGAGCTGCTTGTTCAATCATCCCACCATACTTCCACCCATCTCCCTCCTTCCTGTCCATCCATCCATTCTCCTCCCCACCCAACATCACCTATCCAAGCAGTAAACATCTACTAGGCTCCTCTGGGCTGGCCTTCTGCGCACACCATGGGATGAGATCCCTGGAGTTAGCCAGCCGCAGCCCAGACCCACCTAGAGGAGGGAGGCTCAGAAGTTCGTTTCTCATCTCCATGGTGCTGATGTGAGCTGGGAGAGAGCACAGAGTGTATCCAGTGATATTGGGGAAGGCGTGGGTTACAAAGGGCTTGGAGGGAAGAACAAACCTGTTTTGGTTTTTGACTCAAGGAATACTACACTCAAAGTGTAGCAAGGTGGAGTACAAGGAGGAGAGGTAGGGCTGTCGGCAGGACCTGGCCATGCCTTATGTTCCTCATCTGTCCGCAGGTCTGCCTGTCACTGACAGCCAAGCGGCTGGCCAGTAAAAACTGCGTGGTCAAAAACCTAGAAGCGGTGGAAACCCTGGGTTCCACGTCAGTCATCTGCTCAGACAAGACGGGAACTCTCACTCAGAACCGCATGACGGTGTCCCATCTATGGTTTGATAACCATATCCACACGGCGGACACCACGGAAGATCAGTCAGGTGTGGGGGTGGGAGGGGAAGGCGCCAGGACCGGATGCAGTTGGTGGTCTGACTGGGAGCCTGGGGCAGGCTTTGCATTAACGAGAGGTGTCAGGTCCAGGGTCCTCTGAGGGAGTTCAGCAGGTCTCTGAAGGGAATCTGATCTCCTGGAGGCTGTGTATGGAAGAGGAAGTGGTATACTATCCATGCCTGGGGAGGGGACCCAAAAGCAGAGGCGGCCTGAAAGCAGTGGGAAGGGCTCTGCTCTGGCTTGGAAGATCCACTCCCTTGAGGTCCCAGCCCCTCTGTCTGGTCTTCAGGCCAGACGTTCGACCAGTCCTCGGAGACATGGCGGGCGCTGTGCCGCGTGCTCACCCTGTGCAACCGCGCCGCCTTCAAGTCTGGCCAGGACGCCGTACCGGTGCCCAAGGTGAGAGACCGGGGGATTCCAGAGGGTGCCGTCTGGAGCCTGGTGACGCCGGCTCCGACACTGACACTGGACCCTGCTCCTAGCGCATCGTGATCGGAGACGCCTCTGAGACAGCGCTGCTCAAGTTTTCGGAGCTGACACTGGGCAACGCCATGGGCTACCGGGACCGCTTCCCCAAAGTTTGCGAGATCCCCTTCAACTCCACCAACAAATTCCAGGTGCGCCGCTCACTGAGTCGTGTCCACGACAGGCCACGCCACAGTGAAGGCGGACCTCTTAGTCTGTCTCTTTAGACTCAGTTCTATGTCAATCCAGTTTATGACCCCGCCCATATTCCGTCAGACCACTCCCACACCAGCCCCGCCCAATCAAGCCCCACCCATGCCTCCTAGACAGAGGAGCATCTCTGCTTTAGGCAGGTCCCTGCACCCTCAGGCCCGCCTCCTCGTGTGACCATGCCCCTTATCCATGCCCACACCCGTTGTTCCCCTACCCCACAAGTCCGGTGCAGCCCCCGCAGCTCCGCCTCTCCCTCTGCCCACAGCTGTCCATCCACACGCTGGAGGATCCACGGGACTCCCGGCACTTGCTGGTGATGAAGGGCGCCCCCGAGCGTGTGCTGGAGCGCTGCAGCTCCATCCTCATCAAAGGCCAGGAGCTGCCACTAGATGAGCAATGGCGTGAGGCTTTCCAAACGGCCTATCTCAGCCTGGGAGGTCTAGGCGAACGTGTCCTTGGTGAGAGACGCTCTGGGCGGGCCAGTGTGTCGAGAGGTGTGGCACAGACCCCTCCAAACTGCCTGGCCCGGACCTGACCTTTTGTTTTTTTGTTGTTGTTTTCTTGTGATCCTGCGGGTGGATCCCATGGCCTTGTACCCTTGTGCGTGCTAGGCTTGCTGGCCCTAACCTTCCTCATCTCTGGCCCAGGGTCTAGTCTGCCCCAGCCTCACCCTTGATTTCCTTTCCCTGTGTCAATCCTGACCCCCTAACCTGACACTCTTAGGTCTTCACCCTGAACACCCCCATACTTCCCTTGCTAGTGCCCCCTCTTTTTCCAGCCCTTGCTTCATCTATGGTCCTGTGTCCTCTTGACTTTTTGATCTTTTCTAGTCCGTGTCTCCATGCTGGACCTTCCCCAGGCCCATGTTCTGTTTTCCGAGCCAGTCTCACTATGCAGCCTGGCTGTCCAGAACTCACTCTGTAGACCAGGCTGGCTTCCAACTTAGAGATCCGTCTGCTTCTGCTTCTCCAGTTCAGGATTAAAGGTGTGGGCTACCATGTCCCTCCTTTGCCCTTATCTGTGAACCCTCCAACTTTTGCTGTTCCCCTTTTAACTTTCCTAACCCCTGGAAACTCTGGAAGGCACAGACCCATGGTTCAGTTCTGCCTTTCACTTTACTTTGAAAGAAATGTTTTCTCTCTCAGCCTTCCCGCCTGCCTGTCTGCCTGCCTGCCTTCCTGTCTTCCTTCCTTCCTTCCTTCCTTCCTTCCTTCCTTCCTTCCTTCTTCCTTCCTCCCTCCCTACAATCTAATATAGCTCAGGTTGTCCTGGAACTTCCAATCCTCCTCCCCTACCTCCCGAGTGCTGGGATTACAGGCCCTGCCTAGCTCTGTACCCTAGTCTCCTCGTAAGCAGGGTGGGAGTGCACCTCATACGGCGAGTGAGGATCCAGCATCCACAGGTGCTGTGAGGTCCTGTTATTTCACAAGCCTGCTGTCTCTGTTGGCTCTGCTAGCACATCATCTATTCGCCCAGACTCCTCTCATTCCCGTTTTCCTGGCCAGGTTTCTGCCAGCTCTACCTGAATGAGAAGGACTACCCACCTGGCTATGCCTTCGACGTGGAGGCCATGAATTTTCCAAGCAGTGGCCTCTGCTTTGCGGGACTCGTCTCCATGATTGACCCTCCTCGGGCCACCGTCCCTGATGCTGTGCTCAAGTGCCGCACGGCAGGCATCCGGGTATGCCAGCTGGGGACGAGGATGACAGACGCTCACCTGTAACCACCGCGAATTAAACGCTACTGGTTCATGATACAGAAGCCCCGGGGAAGGAAGCTTCATGCATAGCTGTATCCAGGAGCTCAGCATAGTCAGGAAGCTGCCCTTCTCCTGTCCTAGTTCCCTTTGCGTCTCTTCTGCTTTAATCTCAGGCAGCGCTTCAGTGTGAGCATGCAGAGGAGACAATCCCACTTACAGCTCCCTCCTCTCCTGTTCAGTTGGTCCACATGTTCATCCCCAAACCGGCTTTGATGGCTGGGGGATAGAATGTCTTGATCAGCAATATGTGGGCTTACTTGCTCAGTCTTGGCCACAGACTTCACTTTAGCCACCTGCCTGAGAAGAGCCGCCTAGCCGTCTACCTGGGTTTTAGCCCTCTCTAGGATGGTGTATCTCCAGCAACTCGGGCATGGTCTTGCCTCATGACCTTCGCACCTGGCTATTCCTTCTGCCAGAGATGCTCTTCCTACACATCTCCGTGTGGCCAACTCTTTCATGTTTGGGTCTCTGCTCATGCCACCTCCTCAGTGAGGTCTATGAGCACAGTTAAGCCGCTACTTCCCTCAGTGAGCTTATTTCCCCGTTCGTATTGTGTCCACTCCCGTATCTTGTCCTTTCTGTCTCCTGCCCTAGAATGTCAAGGTATGATGACAGAGAGAGTTGTCTCTTTTGCCCTAGGCACAGCAGGCAGTCATGCTTGCCTAATGATTGTGTTAGCAGAGATCTACCAGGGAGGGCAGGGACCCTGCGCTGATCTGAAGAGGTAAAGGGTGTGCTGGTCTTCCCACAGGTGATCATGGTGACCGGTGACCATCCCATTACAGCCAAGGCCATCGCAGCCAGTGTGGGCATCATCTCAGAAGGCAGTGAGACAGTGGAAGACATTGCTGCCCGCCTCCGCATGCCCGTGGACCAGGTTAATCGGAAGTAAGCCCTCGTCAGCTGTCCCTGTGCTTCTCCCTTGCACCCCTACCCTGAGACCCTAGTGAGACTCGCTCCCTCCTGCAGGGATGCCCGGGCCTGTGTGATCAATGGCATGCAGCTAAAGGACATGGACCCATCTGAGCTGGTGGAGGCCCTGCGCACCCACCCTGAGATGGTCTTTGCTCGCACTAGTCCCCAGCAGAAGCTGGTCATTGTGGAGAGCTGTCAGCGACTGGTGAGACCCTGCTGAGGAGGGTGGCAGGTGGGCCAGCCTGGCCACGGCCTGGTGTCTTTCTGATCTCCTACTCACCTGACCCACTGCCCTAGGGTGCCATTGTGGCTGTAACAGGAGATGGTGTGAATGACTCCCCAGCCCTGAAGAAAGCCGACATCGGTGTAGCCATGGGTATCGCTGGCTCAGATGCTGCCAAAAATGCTGCTGACATGATCTTGCTGGACGACAACTTTGCTTCCATTGTGACTGGCGTGGAGCAGGGTCTGTGCCATGCTAGGGAGGGGGCAGGCCATGAGGGCTCAAGAGGAAGCTGGCTGGGAGGAGGTTGAGGTACCTGTTCTGCCCCTACAGGCCGACTGATCTTCGACAACCTGAAGAAATCCATCGCCTATACACTGACCAAGAACATTCCAGAACTGACACCCTACCTCATCTATATCACTGTTAGCGTGCCCCTACCCCTTGGCTGCATCACCATCCTCTTCATAGAGCTCTGCACAGATATCGTGAGTCTCCAGCCTAATACTGGGGTCCCCCACCCCATTGTGTCCCCAGACATACACTCATGGATGGACAGGATGGACCAAGATCACCATGAACATTTTTATGTCAACAGACATCCAGAAATAGACACCGAGGTTGGCAGGTAGGGTAGACAGGAGAGAGCCATGGATACGGAAGACTCACAGACACTCAGACAAACAGATATCAGTTGGGTGCGTTCCTGTAATCCTAGCACACAAGAGGCAGGGGCAGGAGGATATCAAGTTTGAGGCCAGCCTGGACTACGTATTGAGACCCTACTAGCCAAACAAAAACCAAAAGTTAATAGAAATGTTAGAAGACATAGGTGTCTAGCCACGAAGGGTTAACAGACAGACCTCCCACAGCAGACCTCCTTGTGATGAGGCCCTGAAGGCAGCAGACATAGGGCCCCTTTTGAAGGGTGTGTTCAACACCTCCCAGGGTGCAGTCTGGCTGAGTGCACGCTGATTGACTTAATGTCCTCATCACTGCCCTCAGGACAGGCTTTCTTGTGATTCTCCCCATCTTGCTGACCATCTGATAGAGACACAGACAAGCTCAGTGGCTTGCCCCAGGTCTCTCAGCTCCTAAGTGGCCCCAGCTGGGAGCTGTTCCCTTGGGCCTGTGCACCTGATCAGTCCATTCTGCTGCCATCCCGGCAGTGACTGTCCCTTCACACGTCAGAGACAGGAGTGGGGAGGAGACAGTGCATGTGAGTGTGTGTGCAGAGGCGGGGGGTATCAAAGTCTGGTATTATTGCCCATGCCCGTTACCCTAGCACTTGGGAAGCAGAGGCTGGAGGACCATGAGTTCAAGGCTGTCCTTGGCAATATAGTGAGTTCACAGTCAGCCTGGGTTACATAGCAAACCCTTAGAGAGAAAGGTGGGTGAGGGGCAAGAGAGAGAGAAGGGAAAAGAAAGGCATTATATCAGGAAACAGAATACCACAAGCACTGGAGAACAAAAATACAGAAAAAAGGAGGAACAGGGAAAGGGAGAAGAGGGGTCAGCCAGAAAGCAAAGGCTAGTGGGATTAAAACAGATCTTTGCCAAGTGTGCTTACGCACACCTGTAATCCTAGCACTTGGGACATGTGGGAGAAGGTAGGAAGAATAGTAGTTCAAGTGAGTCTGGGTCCAGCCTGAGCTACATGAGACCTTGTCTTAAATAAAACAACAAAAGACAGACATTTGCATGGAGATGGACATTAGGACGCGTGTGACCCAGACATGCCAAGTGTCCCCGGTTGTCGGGCAGGTGTGGCTGTGTGGTGTCTGCAGGACCTCCCTCCTGTTATTTCCTGGTATGTGTGCGTGAGAGGAGTCAGTGGCCCAGGCTACCCTCCACCTCTTCCATCTGCTCCTGGCTAGTTCCCATCGGTGTCCCTGGCATATGAGAAGGCCGAGAGCGACATCATGCACCTGCGTCCACGGAACCCCAGGCGTGACCGCTTGGTCAATGAACCCCTGGCTGCTTACTCCTATTTCCAGATTGGTAAGCTCTGTCTGTGGCCAAGGCTGCGATCCCCAGGCTCTGCCCACCTGCCACGGGCTTCCCGGCTGGGCCTCCGGGGCTGGGTTGGTCCATGTCCCAATCTATTCGAGGTGGCCTCTCTGGTCCTAGTGTATAACGTTAACCCTGCTATTGCAGGGTCAGTGCCTTGGTCTTTTGGGGTTTTCTCTGTCCCTGTCTGTACTTTGTTTCTCTCTGTGTGTTTCTTGTATTTTGAGTCCCGTGACCCTGCTCTTTGTGTGTTTGTCTTTTGTGTCTGTCTCCATCTTTGTTCCCACACTCCCTGTCTCGCCTTCCACAGGTGCCATCCAGTCATTTGCGGGCTTTGCTGATTACTTCACCGCCATGGCCCAGGAGGGCTGGTTCCCTCTGTTGTGTGTGGGACTGCGGCCACAGTGGGAGGACCACCACCTACAAGATCTTCAGGACAGCTATGGCCAGGAATGGGTGAGCTCTGCCTGCCATTCCCTTCCCACTTCCTCCTACCTAGTGCCATGTACCTTTGTTGGAACAGTTCAGCTAGAGGAGTGCCTGGCACCCACCCCTTCTGTGGTTACTGTGGAGCGGAGTCTTTTCCTCACTATCCTCTGCTCTGCCTTCTGCTTCGGAAGCTCCCGGTGAGCCCTTTGGCTGCACCAATAGACCTCAATATCGCAGGTTCAACTGGTCTTCTGTCATTTTCCTGGTAATGTCATTCACACGGAGTTCTGGTGTGTGGCACTTATTTCATCGAAGGCTTAAAGGGCCATGACGCCAGCAGTAGCCAGATGTGTTTAGTTTGTCTTGGAGAGTAACATGTTATTTAGCAAGAAATTCCCCATGGCCGCTGCCACAGTTATGAATGCAGTCTAGGGCTAGCCTAGGTTCACTGTACTGCATCGACCCTACAAGCTGTGTGGCCCGTCTGTGCCTCCCTCCCCAGTCTGTTCCAGCAGAATTCACATCATCTAGGAATTCATTTGAAATGCAAATTCTCGGGTCCCACCTCAGGCCTATGGTCAGAAACTCTGGGAGTGGGGCCTCCTAGGGAGTCTGATGCCTGTCATTTGGCTGTTTTACTGGAAAGAGATATCACCCTGGCTCCTTGAAGCTCAGCTTACTCCTCCGCTATTAAGATGAGTGGTGGATCTCTGTGAGTTCCAGGCCAGTCAGGGCTAGGTACTAATATACATGTGCACACACACACACACACACACACACACACACACACTCGCACGCATGCACGAGTGTTGCTGAAGAAACAGCATATACAGCCGCTGCTCCCATGTGGGGCAGGCATTCTCTATCGCTCATGTCCTGCTCTCTGCCACCTCCTTGGCTCCTGTCACCTTTCTCCGAGATCCTCTGATTCCCCTTCCTGGGCTCCTTCCTTGGTATTCAGGGAAAACCCCGTGGTTCATCTATCAGTTCGGGCAGAGCTACCCAAGCCCCTCTAGATGCTGGGCTCTTGCGGCCCAGCCTGTGATGCAAGAGAAGGGAGGTCAGGGGGTCTCAGTGCCCAGCAGGTGGCAGAGGCTCTTCACCCAGGCTCAGACTGCCCCTGTCCCTTTCTGGCCTACAGACATTTGGTCAGCGTCTGTACCAGCAGTACACCTGTTACACGGTGTTCTTCATCAGCATCGAGATGTGCCAGATCGCTGATGTCCTCATCCGCAAGACACGTCGCCTCTCTGCTTTCCAGCAGGGCTTCTTCAGGTGTCCCCAGCTGACCCCAGCTCCACCCTCCAGTTCTCAGTCCCAGATCCTACCAGTTCCCAACCAGCAAATGCCAGCACCAGATGCAGTGAGCTGGGTGCAAACCGTGGAAATATGTCCTTCTCTGCTGGCCAGTGGCTGGCATTGGGGTCCTTCCATATCTCAGCTAGGGGCTGAGGTCAAGAGCGCCAGCTCCTGTTCCTAAGGACAGCCACCAGAGTCACAGGTTTAGGGCATCTTCCTGCTACTGTGACGTCCAATCTCCCTAAGTTCCTCCTATTTCCCAACTTCAGATGGCTGGTCTGTGTCTGTCCCCAGCCTGCCAACCTGAGTCCTTCCTCCCCCACAGGAACAGGATCCTGGTGATTGCCATCGTGTTCCAGGTCTGCATCGGGTCCTTCCTGTGCTACTGCCCGGGGATGCCCAACATCTTCAACTTCATGCCCATCCGGTGAGGAGCTGTGAGGTGTTGGTAAAGGGATGGGGATGTGGGCCACGGACTTGGGCATGGCCTTGATCCTGCCATCCTTGCCCGTCCTTCAGGTTTCAGTGGTGGCTGGTCCCCATGCCCTTCGGCCTCCTCATCTTTGTCTATGATGAGATCCGGAAACTTGGAGTTCGCTGTTGCCCAGGGAGTGAGTGTGGAGCCTAGGGGCCTGGGGGGGGGGGGAACTGAATGGTTCTTAGAGCAGCCCTTTGCCCCCTGACCTTTAACATATGACTTCAAGTCTTTGAGCCTCTGAATCAAACCATTACTGCTTTGAACCTTGCTCTTGCTTGGGTAACCCAGCACTGAGTTGCCTTCCTTCTGTCTCCTCCAGGCTGGTGGGATCAGGAACTCTACTATTAGAGGGACGGTCATCTCTCCATCTACTAGCAGTGTGATGGGGATGGGACAATCAAAACATCTATGCAGCAGATTCCCAGCCCTGGCTGTACCCACTTCTGCAGCCCACACACCCCTTGGAGGGGCTACTGCTCCTCTCACCCCAAAGTTCCATACTGTCTTGGAGCAGCTGCACCCCAGACAAGTCCTCTGAGGTGGGAGGGGCTAGACCAAGCAGTTGGCAGACCCCGTGGAGGTATGTCCATCCCCAGGACTCCATCTGGACAGAAGGTAGCCTAGGGGCTATTACACACCCCTCATGCTCTGCTGGACAGTAATAAACCACATACCACACCAATTGTGCAGTCTTACATGTTTCCCAGTACCCTCAACTTCCCACAAACATGCCACCTAGGGACTAATGTTCAGGGGTGCAGCATCTGTAGGGCCTAGGGCAGAACCTCGAGTGGAGTAGGGATTCCAGCAGATTCCTTAAGGAAATTACTTCCCGTTTCTTTGTGTAAGGTAGCAATTTAAAGACAAGCTGGGATAATGACCTGAGGTACCATCCAGAGTATGACCACCATTACCCGTGAGCCCTAGATGGAGTATTCTCAGTAACACCCCCTTCTCCAGCCTCTTGGCACAGGGACTCAGACTTCCACAGCAAGCAGCCTCTTGCCACAGTCCCCAGGGTCTTCTCTGATTTCATGTGCTGGTACCTGTACCCTGATGTCCTCATCAAATCATGGAGATTCTCCCACGAACCTCTGCTCCTAAAGAGCCAACTTTTCCAGCTGCTGGGAACACCCCACCCCTCTTCCTGGGAATCTCTGCTTGTCTCCTCCTCCCTGTTGTCTACCACTACCGCATCCCCACGCCCCAAGGACTTAAGTTTCTCCTGTCATGCCCACATCTGTCTCCAGCCTCTCCTGAGGTAACCCACACTGGTGTCTACATGACTCTCCAACCTGTCCCCATTTGCTGTGCAGTCTTCTCTAAGGGTGGAAGGCTCTTGGGAGCCATAGAGCCCCAAACGAGTGGTGTCCTGGGCTCTTGCTCCTTACCTGTGACCTCTCCCCTTAGCCAACCAATCAACACTGTTGGCACCTCACTTCTAGTCCATCCCTGCTGAGGGACTTTTCCACCTAGGCCTTCTGGTTCATCTCTTTCCACACCATTACGATGGACAGCTTCCAAAACCCCAAACCAACCCGTGCCCTGGTCAACATCATCGTCAGCCATCAGCTCTGGCCCCTGCTACTAGACTGTGTCTCAAGCTCAGCTGATCTGGAGCCAAACAGTCTGGTGTGTCCCAGAAGCCAAGGCCATCACCCCTACCCTAGGCCTTTACATCCAACTCAAGTCCTTCTCTGCTTGTCCTAACTGGTCCTTTAGAACTCATCCTCCCTTGAGCACCCCCTACCTACAGGCTGGGTAAGGTAGTTTCTGTGTCCCAATAAACCCTGCTTTCCAACCAGAATGCTAACCACAGCCCTGGTTTCTCCATTAGGGATCTGGTTAGTTCTGTCATCTCCACGATGGGACAGGCAGACCACAAGATAGAGGTGCATGAGAAAGTGATCCCAATGTATGTCCAGTGTGCACCCCATCTACTTTCTGTCTGTGCAAAGTCAAGGACATTCTTTACCCTCAGTACACAAAGCTACGGGGTAATATTCAGGGCACCGAGGAAGGGTGGGAGAAGGGGAGGGGAATGGGGTCCATGTGATGGAAAAATATGCCTTCTGTAAACAGACTGTCACACAGAGCTTAAAGGAATTGGCCTTTCCCATGTCTAAGGTGAAACAACACGCAGTTCAGAGCCCAGTGATAGTGGGATGGGGAACTGTCCTACTCCTCCTGCGGTAGGGGGGTGAAGACACTGGGAAGACCAAGGAAGGGCATGGCTGCCGTGGTGGAGTTAGCATCTAGGACAGTAACCAAGATGGTGGGCTCATGCGCTATTAAGCGATAGCTGACCCCAAGTTCCACCTTAATAGACTTAGGCCAGGATTAAGGCTGCAGAACTGAGTCAAAGCATGGAGAAGCTCAGAATCAAGGAACTCTTCACAGTGGCCTTACGGCCTGAATGATGATAGGAATCTGACTAGGGAAATCATCCCAGGGAGCAACTCCAGATATATCAAGGGCAATGGCACAGGCTACTGTCAGCTGTACAATGAGGCAACATGGAGAGCTATGAGCTGAGGATGGTGACCTAGTTAGATAGGTTTCAGATCAACCCCCGCCCCCAGCTGTCACACAGTGGATGGATCAGAGGGGGAAGTACAGGCTGAGTGTCGGAGGCAGCCAGCCCAGGGAAGGCTCCGTGTGGAAGAGGGCTCAGGCCAAGATATAAGGAGAAGAGGAATTTGCCTCTACCCCAAATTCCCTCTTCAACTCTAGTGCACCCGTTCCTTAGCTTATTCAATTATCAAGCCTCCAGGCTCCCATGGGGAAACCAGGAGGACTGGCCAGCTTGTGGAAACCAGATAGGCTCTGTGGGACCCAAGTGACATAGTTCTAGCACTGATTTCTAAGAGAGAAATGAATGCACAAAAAACTTTCCAAACACTGTTTACTTCATTAAAATCTGGAGAGAGGCAGCGAAAAGGTATGCCAACACCCAGGCCAGCAAGCTAGGAGTGTACATTGACAACAGCAACATACAGGGCCAGGGTACTGAGGGCCAGCAGTCCCGTCACCATGGCCCGGGCCAGCAGGGCTGTCCAGCTGCCCAAAGAGAAGAGATGGACGAAGGTCCTGTGGGGAAAAATCATAATGACGAAAGGAAAGAGAACACACACCCCCATTTGAACCCAGCCTCAAACCCCATCCAGCTCACTCCATGACGAAGGCCTTGTAGACACTAAGGAACATCAGGAGGAGGACGGCAGGCCGGAAGGTGTGGTACAGGTCATAGCGGGTTATCATCCAGACCTGAGCCGATGCAACGATGTAGTGGACCTGCAGGGAGGAGGGAAGGAAGTGAGAAGCTGGGGCCGAGTTTCGGGGAGAAGTACGTTTAGCAGCATGAAATTGGGGTGGGGGTGGGGGACAAGACTGCATACCAGACTGATGTTGGAGTCAATGCTCATCTGGATGTATTTCCAGTCAAATTCAATGCCTCGGGCTCCCACCCAGAGAGGGATGCAGCTGAGGAAGGCAAAGGGAGGGAGCCTCCAGTACCCCGACCCCCTCAACACTCAGACTCTGATCCCCACCCTCCAGTACCCCTCTGGGACCCAGGTGCCCTTTCCCAGAAGTCTGGGCTCCAGGTTGCTCCACACACCGGGACATAATGAGCTCAGCGGTGGCCCAGCCCAGGGCAGCAACCATGATCTTGTATTCCCCCTTGCCTGCATTCCGGGACATGACAAGGTTTAGGCCTATCAGGTCGGCCACATCCACACTGGCCTTCATGAATTCCTGTGGGTCAGGTAGAGGCTTGAGTAAACACAGGGGCCAGGTGAATCCACTCCTCCACTCCCTGTCCCTTCCGAGATCAACTCACCCCAATGAAGTCATAGATGCCACCTTCCCAGGTGGGGAAGAAAGTGGCCAAGAACAGCATCTGAGAACAGAAAGTGAAAGGTCACCTGAAGGTGATGGCGCTAAAACCACGCGGATGTTGTGGACAGTGAGTCTAAGAGGAGGGCAGGACGTTGGGTTCTGGGGTCATGCCGGGTATAACTGGCACGACCACAAAGTGGGGGAGACAGAGAGCAGATGCCTGGTTTCCAAGAAGTCTGTAAGTTCACAGGGGAATCCGAAGTCTAGAAATGCCAGAGTGAATGCATGCGTAGCATAGCGTAAGCAGCACCATGCGACACCCTGTGGGTGAAATATCGCTTAGCCAACACTTGAGGTTTTCTCGATTTTACCAAAAGAGCTAAGAAAAAGTTACATCAAGGACTCCCCTGGGCTTCCACCCCTTATAAGGTATTCGGGCACAGTCCCTAAGCGTTGTCTCGAGGGTGGTCCCATGGAGGGCGACAAACAGCAGAGCAGGGTCCCTGAGGTCTGGAATGCCTGGAGGCCAAACACGTGGAGTCCCGGAGTCCCTCACCTTGCATAGCTGCACAAAGAGGTAGGTGACTCCGGCCTGGACGCATTTCCAGAAGGCGTTGTACTCAGACCTGAAGAAGCGGGCGGGCGGGCGGGCGGTGAGGGGTCGGCCAGGGACCCGCACCCTCTCCGCCCCGCGCCCGCCCTGCACTCACAGGCCGCTGCACTTATACGTGATGAAATACGGAAAGTAGGCGAGGGCGAAGCAGTTCCCGAAGTGGAACAGGGTCATGACGCCGGCCGCCCGGTCCCGCCAGCGCGAGACTCGCCAGGCGGCGTCTCCTCCGGGAAAAGGTCTCGGCCTTGCCGGCACCCGGGCCTGGCGCCACCTAATTGTCGTGATCCGCGCTCGGCCTTATGGGAATTGTAGTCGGCCTGGCACGGCGCGCGCCGTGACGTCAGAGCGCCCACCTCCCGCCCCACTGCCGGGCTTCCAGAGCCCGACGCCACTGAGGACTGGTGTCCCACAGCAGAGATGCGTGTGCCCTCCCAAGTGGCACCCGACTCAGAACCAAACGCCACCTCTTTCTCGCCCATCTGAACCTTGAACCCGGCCCCGAGTGTACGGTGATCGGCGCAGAGACAAGAAGGCGAAGTTGTGCGCACTCTGGTTTTTATTTCATTGTTGACCTGGTGGCGGCGCGAGAGCCGCGCGACCTCCTTCGAGGGGACCCGAGGCAGGAACGTAAGGTGCGCGGGGAAGCAAGGAGGAGCCTTCCGGGTTACTTCTCTCGGCTAAACATGTAGCGGAGGAGGTCGACCACCCGGTTACTGTAGCCATATTCGTTGTCGTACCTGGGGAGGTGAGAAAGAAGGCATCGTGTGTGTGTGTGTGTGTGTGTGTGTGTGTGTGTGTGTGTGTGTGTCCGTCCGTGAGAAAGAAGGCATCGTGTGTGTGTGTGTGTGTGTGTGTGTGTCCGTCCGTGCCCTCCTGCCAACCTCTCCCACTATCTTCGGTCATCTTTCCCCTTTACCAGGAAATGAGTTTAACGAAGTTGTCATTGAGGGCAATGCCAGCCTTAGCATCGAAGATAGACGAATGGGGATCGCCGATAAAGTCCGTGGAGACCACCTAGGTGACAATTTTAAAGATAAATGTAGCAGAGTAAGGACCTCCAGGATCCCATACATTGACTCGTACACCGCATTGTCTTTCATTCATCTGGCATAGTGGATCGAGGTCTTTTGTGTTGGTGACAGGATGTGACCAAGGCAGGTGGGACTTTTGTCTTAGGGACTGTCAGAAAGGACTTAGATTGGGATAGGGGTAGGGATGACACAGTCGGTAAAAGTGCTTGTCACATAAGCGTGAGCATCTGAGTTTGGATCCCCAAAGGCTGGGCAGGTGGTGAACACCTGTAATCCCAGCATTCCAGATCCAGACCGGAGATCCCTGGGGCCAGATGGCTAGCTAGACTAGCTGAAATTGACAAGCTACCATCACAGCTTGCCTCAGTAAATAAGTGGAGTGCAATGGAGGAAGACATGTCAGCCTCATGCCTCCACACATATCATACTACTTGTGTACCTGCACATGTTTCTTCATGCATCCACACATATACACAAGGCATATGTATATATTACCTTGGACACAGACCACAAGGCCCAAACACTGTTCCAGGGAACAATGGGTGGCATGAGCCCTGGGCCTGATGAGTAGTGTCTGAAGTGGAAGGAGCTATTGACACAGACACAGAGGGTTGTAACCCTTAAAGACACAGGAGGACTTTTGGCATTGGACTGATTTGATCAGGCCCATTCAAATGATATCTTGCCAATTGTATGAGAATGGAGCCAGTGCAAGAGAACTTTGCCAAGGTAGAAGCACTTGACAGTTTGCTTTTTTTTTTTTTTGATACTGGGTCTTTTTGTAGCCCTGGAACTTTCTATGTAGATCAGGCTGGTCTCAAACTCACACAGATCTGATGCCTCTACCTCCTGAGTGCTAGGGTTAAAGGCGTGTGCCCCTGAGCCTAGCAGATGACACTTAAGAAGCCTGTTGCTTTTCCTACCACAGTGACCAGAAGTCACTCACATAACCCATAGACCATACTGTTCAAGAAAACAGTAACTTAAGACCTAACTCCTCATGGAGCTTTTACTATGTACCCAGGGCCTGGCATACAAAGGTGCTTAATACATGCTTAGCAAACAAAAGACACCAGTTCTTTTAAAATTTTTTTGTTCAGGGGTCAGACACTTTTCCTGGGAGCAGACTTCTTAGTGCCATCTGCTAGGCTCAGGGGCACACGCCTTCTCACGTGTGCATAACCATGCCCATCTGGCCTGTGGTTCTTAGCTTGACCCATGCAGAATAGCTCCTTGGTGAGTGGGGCTCCCCATTTCCCCAGTCCCTACCTGGTCCTCTGTGTAAGCAAGGATGCCAGCCAAGGGCCCCTTGGCTGCCTCTTTCACAGCTTCCTTGATAGCCGAGTAGGAGGTAGGCTGGGCCAGGCGGCAGGTCAGGTCCACAACAGATACATTTGGGGTTGGCACCCGGAATGCCATTCCCGTTAACTTCCTGGAGAATTTCACAGAAAGGGTGGGAGTCAGAGCCCAGGGACTTCCGCTTGCATTTTCCCCTTGCCGTGGGGCCAGTGAGGCCTCCCTAGGATCTGTCCCCACCCTAGTTGCAGCAGTGTATCCTCATACCCTTTGAGCTCTGGGATGACTTTGCCTACGGCACTGGCAGCCCCAGTGGAGGATGGAATGATGTTCTGGTGAGCACCGCGTCCACCTCGCCAGTCCTTCTTTGACGGCCCATCCACTGTCTTCTGAGTGGCCGTGTAGGAATGCACTGTGGTCTTGGAGAACAAGAGGATCAAGATGAAGCCTTCTGGCTCCAAACCTCTCATTCCTTTCTCATCTAGGACTTGGGAGGTGGTTTAGGTATGGAAGCTAACAGGGCCACCACCAGACCATGGGAAGGGTGTCTGGAGGCCAGGGCCTGTCCTTGTCAAGAGTATTTCTTTTTTTTTTTTTTAAATTTATTTATTTATTATGTATACAATATTCTGTTTGCGTGTATGTCTCCAGGCCAGAAGAGGGCACCAGACCTCATTACAGATGGTTGTGAGCCAACATGTGGTTGCTGGGAATTGAACTCAGGACCTTTGGAAGAGCAGGCGATGCTCTTAACCACTGAGCCATCTCTCCAGCCCCCTTGTCAAGAGTATTTCAAAAGGCACCTCTGTCGGTGGGCTTCTTCCCCAAGCCACTCTCCATGCTAACTCCATGCCTTAAGCAAGGCCTGGGAAGAAGGTGTTGGCTTCCCTGCCGTCCTTCCTGCCCCAACTCACCATCAGCCCTTCCACGATCCCAAAGCGTTCATGAATAACCTTTGCGAGGGGGGCCAGGCAATTGGTGGTACAGGATGCATTGCTGAAACAGCCATGTTGTGCGGATGAGTGGCAGAACCTCCCTTCCACTCTTACTCTTACTTAACTGGGTCTGGTTTGTGAGATGCGAGGGTTGGGGAGGGAGGGCTCACTGGGGATGCCATGGGAAAGATGAAGGAGCCATTGGAAGTGCCACTGGGGAATGCTACACAGGCACGTCGAACATTCCTCAGGGTCAGATTAACATGAGGACTCGAGACTTAGGGACAGATAAGTGGGGGTAAGTTGATGTAAAAGACCCCAGAGATCTAGTGGGACTGGTGTAGGGAGAGGGTGGGAGGAGGTGAGCACTTCCTGTGCTACAGCCTGGCATGTCTGCTGGTACCACCCACATGTTCAAGGATGGCTGTAATCCCAGGTACCTGACGATGTTCATAGAGCCAGGATTATACTCCTTCTCATTCACACCCATGACCAACATGGGCGCATCGGGGGAGGGCGCAGTGACTACTACACGCTGGGCTCCGGCTGAGATGTGTGCCTAGTGATGGAGTACAGGGGTTAGAGTCTTCAAGCACCACTGCCCCCTCTTCCCGGACAGGCATGGGCACTCTCTCCCACTTACCGAAGCTGCCTCTGTGGACAGGTATACGCCTGTAGACTCCACCACATAGGGACTCCCTACAGAACTCCAAGGAATGTCTTTGGGATCTTTGCTGTGGAGTGGTGGGAAGGCTGTGTCAGCTTCCTTGCTTGGGTGTCAGGCAAGCCAGAGGCCTTGGTGCCTTGACCTGCTAACCCCTGTTTCCTAACTACACATACCTACTTGTTTCAGGTTAGTGCCATCTTGTAGGCCCAACCTAACCACTCACCCCTTTTTTTTGGGGGGGGGTGTGTTTCAAGATAGGGTTTCTCTATGTAGCCCTAGCTGTCCTGGAACTAGCTCTGTAGACTAGGCTGGCCTCGAACTCAGGGATTGCTTCTGCCTCCCAAGCACTGGGACTAAAGGCACACGCTACCACTGCCTGTCAACTCTTCCTTGTCTGCTAAACCTGCAGTGTCTAGATCCAGACTTTCACATCTTCATCTCGGGATTTTACTCCCTCAGGAGCCATCCTGATAATGCCAAAGGGGACCAGAGCCTTTTGTCATCCCATGTTCAGAGCATGAACTCCCAAGATGGTGAAACTGGCAGTACTCCTTTCTGGGCCCCACCTCTGACCGCTTCACCTGTTAGCCTGTTGCCATCACTCCCAAGGGCAGACTCCCACGTCAGACAACAACTTGTGGGAAGACTACAGTTGAAGACCCTATGGCCAGCAGTGACCGATCATTGACAGTAGAAAGCCCCGCCCCCCAAAGGCAGTCTGTTCTTCCCCACCAGTCTACATTTTCACTTGGTTTGTGTTTGGTGGGTGGCGGTAGTGTGTGCTGCGTATCCCAGTCTGCTCAGCAAGGTCAGTGCTCCTCCTGACTCAGCCTACAAGTGCAGGGGTTACATGGGCTCCATCATGCCCAGTGTCTCCCTGATGTTCCCACTAGTGTTTTCATCTGAAACTGGTCAACAAACACCTATCCTTGTGTCCAGCAAGCAAGCTCAGTGACTCCATCTGTGGGCTTGTCCCTCATGGAATTTATCATGTGACAGGGAGATTTGTTCTAATGATTGCTTCTGGCTCTACTTCTGGATCATTCCATATCACAAGGCTGGGTCTGCCTCTGCTATAGCAATTTAATAAGTCAATGGATATTTAAACTTTTTTATTATTTATTTGTTTTGGAGACAGGGTTTCTCTGTGTAGCCTTGGCTGTCCTGGAACACGTTCTGTAGACCAGATTGGCCTTGAACTCATAGATATCCACCTGCCTCTGCCTCCCAAGTGCTGGGATTAAAGACGTGTCCTGCCACTGGCTTGCCTATATATAAACATTTTAAAATAACTTATTTTAAGTCGTGTGTGTGTGTGTGTGTGTGTGTGTGTGTGAGAGAGAGAGAGAGAGAGAGAGTTAGTTGTTGGGCCCCCTGGCACTGTAATTACAGGAGGCTGCAAGCCACTTATGGGAGTGCTGGGAATTGAAACTAGGGTCCCCTGAAAGGGCAGTTCATGATCTTAACTGCTAAATTGTCTCCCCAGTACCAATCGATACATATTCGTTTAATTTTGGAGTACTGAGGAATGGTGCCAGGGGAATACATAGAGGGAGTATTCTACTGAGCCACATCCCTAGTCTTGCTTTTTTTAGTCATTCTGCACATGTGCACTAAACTCTCATGAGCCTCCAGTCTCAGCTTTTTACTGTAGGAAGCCCTGTTAGCCACCACAATGCCACCACTGTCACTGCGACCACTTCTCAAAAAAGCCACTGTCAGGACAGTGGTGATGGCAGGCTGGGAGCACAGGCTGTAGGCTGGGAGCACAGGCTGCCCGGCCCTAGGTTCTATCCCCAGTCAGCTACAGTGTGGGAACGGATGAATGCATGAACTTCCCCGGCCACATGGCTCTTTTCTCCCTCTGCTCCATCAGTCCACACCCTTCACCCTCTGGCCCCGGGGATCTTTGAACTGATGCACCCATTTTCTGGCTTTCAAGTTGTGAGTACTTCAGCAATTCCTGGAGCAGCACTTGCATTGGCACAGCCCCTCATGCCTGCAGGACTGTCCTGAAGACTCATCCACTCAGCTGCCTTGATGGGGGAAGGCAACCGTATTGCATATCATATTAGCAAGTTGTCATGTGCTGTTTGGGCTCACTGAGAAGCTGACTCAAGACCCAAGCATGTTTATGTCAAGTGTTCTTCAAGACCTTGTCCAGGGATGGACTGGCCCCTCCCACCTGTGTGACAGCAAAAGGAAAGAACAGTGAAATAGCCCAGGGGTAAGAACACAGTCCCCAGGGTGGAGTCTCCTATTGTTCAACCTGTGGTACCCTGGGAAAGCCCGCAAGCTCAGCTGTGAGAGAAAGCTCAGCTTCCCTAGTCAGTCTCTGCCGGATGTCGTGAGCCCTTGACTGTATGATGTCTCATCACGCTCTGCTGCTGTTTGTTCTTTTACTAAAAGGGTTGCCAGCGCTGCCTGGGAACTGACTCTTATTGGGGTATCCCCAGCTGATTTCCACCAGACATTTTGAGTACCTGATTTGACATCTTGCTATATATCTATCCATCCATTCCTTGCTCTTACCTATTTTACTTTGGCTTGCCATTTATAAATTTATTCAAACCGAAAACTGAAAGTGTGGTGTCACAGGTCATCTGCAGCAGTGTGGGAGTGGGGCGCTGTGTGGCGAGGATGAGGGAGGGAGAGTGCCTCACCGATGACCAGACAGACGCAGACGGACGTGGAGCAGCCGATAAGCTGCCACGCCGAAACTGCTCTTGCGGTCATGATTTCAAACGCAGGGCAAGCAGCTCCTATCTCCCTGACACCCCAGTACCTACCTTCCCTCAGCCCCCTCCAAGCTCCCCGTTACACCTCAACTTCAGCGAGTTAAAAGGGAAACTGAGAGTTTCCTTCCTGAGGAGCCAGAAGACCTTGTCTGGGGCTACAGAGGGCTGTGTTTCTTAGGCTTTGCAAGTAACCTAAGATGTCATTGTTTTTCCCTGAGACAGAATTTTATTACATAGCTCCAGGCTGGTCTAGCACTTGTGGTAATCCTTCTGTCTCAGTCTACCAAGTGCCAGGGTTATAAGTGTTACTGCCTGATATATAGATTCTGAATCTATTTGTAAACAGTGGGACTTCCACCAGTAGAAGCTGTGTGAGGTGGGCACTATGAAGTCAGCCTTGCTTGGCTGTAAGGGGTGCAGGCCGGAGGTGATGACCAGTGTGGCAGATGAAGCACAGAGACACTGCAGGATGCAATGCATGGTGCATGGAGTACACTGGTAGTTGCAGCCTTATTTTGGGGTGCTGAGGAGCATGGGGGATTAGGTAGAGGAGTACCCTGGCTTGGTGGAGATTCAAAAGACTTCAGGGAATGCTGAGTCAGAACTGGCTCAATTGCCTTCGAGAGAGGTGGCTGATGGCTCAGGGGGAACAGGACATGAGGCACAGGGCACCCATATAGCCAAGAGAGCACACGAAGATGTGAGATACAAAACACTAGAGAACCATGGACTGTTCTTAGCTGTTGTTCTTAACTGTTCTAGGGAGCCGGAGACTTTCCTGAGACCCCCCTCTCTAAATAGGACCCAGAGGCATACACAGAGAGATGACAGCCTCCCAGCCTCATGGTGCCACAGATGCTCCCTCCTTACCACTGGTACACTTGGATCTCAAGGTCATCCACAACTAGTCGTCCATTCTTATGCTCCACACTTCCTTTGTATCTCCCATGCGTCGAGTCATATTTGAACATGTATACCTGCAGTCGACAGAGTAGGGTCCTCATCTTAGGTGGCGGAGCAAGCAACCCCAGACAGGTCTCCACCCACCTTGGGGAAGGTTCTGCAAGGCTTTCCATACAGATCTTGGAACCTCCTCAACACAAGCGCCACTCTTGCCAGTCCTTCTCCCCATCTGCTGCTTACCATGTATTCTGGGTCAATGAATGGATCGTTCACTGCCACCACCTTAACACCCTTCTCCATGCAGACTCGCAGAACCAGGCGACCAATACGTCCAAATCTGTCCAAGCAGGAACATGCAAAAAAGGGAATGGGAGTGGGGACAGGGTGACAGGGATGCCATGGTGTCAGAGTCCCACCAATGTTCATGATGAACTTTAGACCTTGGGGCTGGTGAGATGACTCAAGGGGAAAGGCGCTTGCTGCCAAGCCTGACAACCTCATTTCTATGCCCGGAACCCACACGGTGGAAGAGAAGACCTGACTCCTGCAAGTTGTCCTCTGACCTATGCATGTGTACATGCACACATGCACACGCATGTAAACACAGATCATTTCTAATCCTCTTGTGTATTAGCAGATGGGACTTAGAAAGTTAAGTTTAAATGAAGATATGAGGTGAGGCCCCTGGGGTGGCATTTGGTGGCTTTATGAGAGTAGAGACCCGAAAACTGGCTTGGACTCGATTGGCGATGCCATTCGTGCACTGCCTTAGGACTCTGCAGGAGTCCCCACCAGCAGGGAGGCTCTCACCAGTTACATCACCTCGATGCGGGACTCCCCCAGTCTCCAGACTGTAAGAGATCTCTTTTAAATGGCCCAGTATCTGGTGTAAAATGACAGCCACTTAAAACTGAGGCAGAGTCTAGGTCCTTGGTGTGGGTGTGGGAATCGACCACTTCTGTGTGGGCCACTGTGGGTCATCTCTAGCCCAGGTGAGATTGCTTGGCTTAACCTGCACTTCTGTTTCCTAGTCCCACCCAACCCGCTGATTCCTCTTCTTCCCTTCTTTTCCTTCTCCCACTCCCTCCGCTCTCCTCCCCTCTCTTCCCTTCCCCTCCTCCCCCCTCCTCTTCCTCTCTCTATCCCTTTTTCTATTTTCATTTTTATTTGTGTTATTTGTGGTTGTGTATGCAGGGCTTTGTGTTTGCTAGGCAAGCACTCAACCAGCAGTTTATATACCTTTACCATCAGCCCTGCACGGCCTTTATTCTTCTGTTTGTTTGAGAATGGGTCTCACTGCGTTGCTCTGGTTGGCCCAGAGCTCACAGAGATCTGCCTGCTTTGCCTTTGCGGGATCAAAGGCATGTGCTATTACTCCCAGCCTCCAGTTCCTTTTTGCATTGTTTCTGTTCTGTATTTTTGAGACAGGATCTCAGTGTGTAGCCCAGATTAACCTGGAACTCACAATATTTAGCTCAGATTGGCCTGGAATTTAGGACTCCTACTTCGGCCTCCCTAGTTGCTAGTGTTGTGGGCACACCACCATGCCTTGCTAATGTTCCCTCTTCTTACTCCTGTAACTGGCTGGGAAGCTTCACACCTCTTTGTGTTCAATGAGATCTGTATTCCTCACCATGGTCTTGGAGGATCCTCTGCCCCCCCCCCCCCCGCCCCCATTTGTTCTTACAGTTATGCAGATTTCCTGACTGTCCTTGAATATATGAAGCAGCCCCTTCTGTGCCCAAGCACTCGCTTGCCCCACTCCCTTGAAGATTTTCCCCAGTGGCGAGATGACCAGCTGCCTTTTGTCACTCAGCCTCACTCCTGTATCTGTTCCAAGAAACCTCGGGGGTCCAGCCAGTGCTGCCCTCCCTGGTCTTAGTGAGATCTGCCACTGCAGCGTCAACTCCCTCGGGTCTGTTGAGTGCTATCTCCTCGAAGGGAGTTCTCTGACGGCTGGCTTGCCCTTGCTGGCCCAGACCACAGTGACCCGAGGTAGCCACAGCATCAGCCTCTGGGGCTGCCCAGCTCCAGCATCCACTCAGACCTGAGGCCGACTTACCCATTGATGCCCACTGTCAGCTCTTTTGGTGGCTTTTTGGGTGGTGGTGGAGGGGGAGGTGGAACCTCTTTGACCGGCTCTACCCGGGGTGGAGGCGGTGGCGGTGGCTCCTCGACCTTGGGTGGTGGCTCCTCAACTTTGGGCTCAGGTGGAGGTGGAGGAGGAGGACAAGGAGGAGGAGGAGGACAAGGAGGAGGAGGAGGACAAGGAGGAGGAGGACAAGGAGGTCTGATCACTGTGGGGAGCAGAGAGAGTCCAGAAGAGAGATGGTGAGCTGGGTCACACCATACAAGACATGGGGATGGATGAGATGGCTCAATGGGTAAAGGTGACTGCCCCTAAGGCTTGTGACCTGAGTGCGAATTCTGGAACTCTTGTGGTAGAAAAAGAGAATGTACTTCCACAAATTGTCCTCTGATCTCCACCTCTGCACACGTACAAAGGTGTGAGAATGCCTTATGTGGAAGGTATTGGTGCTGCGTGCGTGCGCGTGCACACACACACACACACAAATAAATGTCAATTTCTCTCTCTTTCTTCCAAAGAGGACAAATACCTATCTTTACCACAAAGACCCAGTTTGGCTTAGAGTCCCTAGTGGCCAACTCCCTTGCCTAGTGTTTCTTTGCCAAATTCACCTAGCCCCAGAAGAAGCAGAAGAACTGAGTTTAAGATGTGTGCCAGGTAGTCGGGTGTGGTGGTGCACACCTGTAATCCCAGCACTCCAGAAGCAGAGGCGGTGAATCTCTGTGAGTTCAAGGCCAGGCTGGCCTGCAGACTGAGTTCCAGGACAGCCAGGACTACACAGAAATCCTGCCTCCAAAAACAAAAGCAAAACAAAAGGTTTGTGCCAGGGATTCATTCCTAAACTTCATTCTGAGAGTGTGTGTTTTTAGCAGTTCCACGAGGGCCTATTTTCTGGGATTCAGTTTCTTATTCTGCACACATATTATAATATATATCCCTCCCTGTCCCTTCCTTTCCCTTTCTCCTTCCCGAGACAGGGTCTAATTCTGTAATCCAGACTAGACTCAAACTCTTGGTCCTTCCGCCTCAGCCTCCACAGTGCTGGGGCTACAGCTGTGTTCCACTCTATAGGCTCCCCCCCCCCGCCTTTCCAGGGGATTTATTTCACATAAATCCAGGACCCCTGCCTATTAGACAACTGCTCTCCCACTTTGGTACACACCCCTCTTACATATTAATATTTCTGAGATCATTGCTTGATCTGATAACAGATCTAGTTCTGTGAGCCCCAACCTATTCTAAAGATAAGACTCACACTGGAAGGCCTCTTTTTAGAAAAAAATCAGACTTAGTTGGACAATACTGAGCTCCTCTCTCTCTTTCTCTTCTCTCCTCTCCACTCTCTCCTTTCTCCTCCCTCAGCCTTTCTTCCTAAAGATAGGGTCTTCTCTTTGTAACCCGAGCTGTCTTTAGGCTGTGTACCCAAGGACGACACTGAACACCTGGTCCCAGGGGCCAGGATTGCTTACTTGCACCACGCACCTGGAGGGAATTCTGTTCTTAGCTGCGCTCAGTTAGCTTTGGAAAAGTAGATGTTCTCACTGCACCACCCATCCTGAGAGAACAATCCCAGGTGGTGGGAGTTGCTACAGGCAAGGGGATAAGGTACCAGGAGGGGTTGGGGCTAGAAGCCAGTGGCCAGCTTGTCTCTCTTCCCCGACCTCTCCCTGCTCCTCACACCCAAGGCCTGGCAGTGGACTCCATGTTTCCAACTGGACCAAGAATCTCTCCACACTGCTTGGTAGCAGTGACCTTGTGCTCCCTGGCGACCTTGAGGATAATTTGCATCCTGGAGTTTCTAGGTCTGTGCACTCCTTGCACCCAGAGGGGGAGGTTTGGGCCAGTGAGATGGGTCAGAGGGAAAAGGTGCTTGCTGCCAAGCCTGGTGGCCTGCTTGGACCCCTGCCCCAGATGGTGGAGGGAGAGAAGCACTCTCCCGCGGTGTCCTCTGCCCCCCACTTGTGCTGTGGCTCACACTGCTTCCCTCTCCCAGGTAAAATGTAAAACCTAAAATAAGAGAGAGAGGCTTATTCCGTTAGAGTTCTGGGTGGGACTGTGTGCTCACCCAGAAGCCATTCAGAGCACAGCGCTGCCTCCCCCCACCATCACACACACCCCCTCTCCAGAGGGGGAGTGAAGCTGGGGGCCACAGAACAAGCCAATCCCTGCTGTTCACCTGTCTGCTGCTGTGTCCTGAAGCCAGGGTCCCCTTTACACCCGCCCACTTGTGGGAAGTGAGGACACAGGAGTGAACTGGGGGTTGCCCTCCCAGAAGCCCTGGCTTCCTCTGGCTTGAGTACCTGAACAGCACACATATGCACACACCCTCTGGCTGGGGTTGCCCAGCATCTGGCAGTGAGACTGCACAGAGTCCTGAGGTCCTGGGAGAATGTGCCATGCCTTGGCTGGGGGCTGGGAAGTGGCTTGCTCTCTGTTGACTTCTGCTGGCCTCCATAGAATGGGGGACAGTGAACACCCAGGCCCCACCTGGTGTCTGTGAGGTGTGAACACGTGCTTCCAGGAGTCAGGAAAGACCTGGAGGGCAGCAAGCACCCTTGCTTTCTGCAGCCCATTGATGACGAAGCTCATCAGCCCCTTTGTGGCCAGCCACCAGGGACATCAGTGAAATGGGGGAAACACACCCACCTAGCCCCTTTCACCAATGCTCTTGGTCACCCATTCCTCTCCTCCCGGCCTCCCTGCCTCATCTTGGCCTCTGCTTCTTCCCTTTGCACTGTTAGAACCCAGAGCTCAGGCAGTTCTGGGGACAGGGTTCCCAGCCTCCATCTGCATCCCAAGCAGAAGCTCTGGAGTGAGGAAGGAATGAGAGGGAGTGGGGAAGGGAAGGGAAGGACTCCTGGAGGAGAGAGGCCTGGAAGCTGCCTGAAGGGCCTACCCCTGGCCTGCTCCTCCAGGGCACCTAGCAGTCAGCATTCTGGTGGAAGAAGGGTGTCAGGACTCTGAGCACCCCGTGTGAAGGTGTACTGACTCCCACACCACACTTTCCTCCTCTTCCCAGGGTCACCCCTAAAGACTCTCCTCACCCGGGCATGGCTGCCTCAGTAGCTGGACAACAGTGACATTGGTGAGGACGACGTCACGTTTCGACATGGCCTAAGGTCTAATGGCCTGGCTTCCTTGGGCCCCTCTGAGATGGTACTGAGGTGTGAGGCTCCCCGGGGGCTGGTTAGTGTTTCCAGAGCCTCTGATGATGTCACACTGTTCAGTGACATCACAGAGGGAGTAGTGTGCAGGCTGGGGATCTTGGCCCACGAGAGGCTTTTTGGGAATCTCACGCCGAGTATTTCCAGGCCTCCCCCTGGCATCCAGAGTGGAATCTTCTGGGTTCACTCAGGTGCTTTGGCTGCTCTCCCCCTCCCTCCCTCCCCTGGTCCACCTGCTCCATGGTGTCCTGAATCTCTGAGGTGTTTCCCTAGCTCTCCAGGAGTCAGGGAGGACCTAGAAAGCCCCTCCCAAGTCTCCCCTTCCTGCTGGGTTCCTCTCAGATGCTCTCTGTAACTGAGGTCCTTCTCCCCATGACGGAAGAGCAGGTAAAGGGGTGCCCATCAGAGCCTGAGGTGGGGAGGAAGACACATGGATGTCTCCTGGACACAAGCTGCAGTCCTGAACCTATAGTGACTGGTGCTGAGCCCCTGTGACAGACCAGGCCAGTCAGCATTCCAGCGTGGGAGGAAGGGGAGCACTCCCAAGGCCTCTGCCCAACCACCTCTGGCTGAGGAACTCTTGATAGTTGTGGGGACAGGAGAGTCAATTTTCTTAAGGCTGTGGACCAAGCTCCAGTGCATGACCCCTGACCCCTCTGTGAACACAGCACAAATGGGAATCAGTGGCGTATCAAAACAAAGCCAAAACCCAAAAACCCAAGCTGGGCATTGGTAGCACACACCTTTGGCAAGCAGATCTCAGAGTTCGAGGCCAGCCTAGTCTACAGAGTGAGTTCCAGGACAGCCAGGAATACACAGAGAGACCCTGTCTTGACAAACCAAACTGAAACAACAAAAAAAACCCCAAACAACAATAACAAAAACTCAGGAAGTTGGGAAGGAATTAGTGTTAGGGGAGTCATGGGGAGGAGGTAGTGTTGAAAATGGTCCAAATACATTGCATGTATGGACTCAAAAGTTTAATAAAAATAGTATATATTTTAAACATATATATATATATTAAAAATAGTAGACGAATGTAACTAAGCCCAGAGTCTCATGGGTCAGTTAGCCTGTAGCACACACAGCAGAAAGAGGAGACCCTGCATCAACGTGAGAGGAGGAAGAAATGGCTCTTCACACTCATCCTCTGACTTCCACACTGTTCCCTGACTATGCTCTTACACACACACACACACACACACACACACACAACTTTAAAATTTAAAATATAAAAATAAAATTAGAAAAAAAATAGAGAAAAATAAAAATGATAAGTTAAAAGATAAAAATTAAAAACAATGTATCACAGAATATGTGGTAAAGTGAATTAAAGTTTTCTATGTAGAAAATGCCATTTTGAAGAAGATGGTATTGCCATATATATAAGATAAATTACAGGTTATATTTAAACATTTATTTTAAGAACTGAATTAAATTTAAGAGCCTAGAACATAGCTCAGTGGTAGAGTGGTTACCTAACAGACAAGAAATCCTGAATTTAATCTTCAATACTTCCCATAATAAACTCAAATGCATTTAAAAATGTATTAACTGTCCTGTCTTGCATGGCTCATGAGATCTACTTTGTCAATGGCATCTTTATGTATCTTCCATGTGTCTCTGGAAGAATAGTAAATTTGGAATATATTTAAAAATGTATCAGTTGTCCTCTCTTGCATGGCTCCTGAGACCCACTCTGCTGATGGCTGTCTTATGTGTCTTCCATGTGTCTTTGGTGGAACAGTAAATTTGGACTCATGAGGGAAGATTTGTCAACTGATGCAGGCTTGTGAGAAACTCGCCTGCAAAAATACTTGCTGTACAGACCTGACAAGTGAGTTCAGTTCACAGCACCCAGTGTAGACAGAAGACCAACTCCTGAGCAGCAGTTATAACCTTTGCAATACGCTGTTGCACGCTCACACCCTCCAACCCCCCAAATACTAATAGTACAGAAAATAAATCTTAAGAGCCAAGAGACGAGAGGAATGACTTAGCAGTTAAGAGTACTCATGGCTCTTACAGAGGACCCAAGCTCAGTTCCCAGCACCCACGTGGCAGCTCACAACCATCTGTAACTCCAGTTCCAGGGGATCTGATGCCCTCTTCTGGCTTCTGAAGGCACTACATGCACAGGGTGCATATTCATACCTGCAGGCAAACATTCAAACAGAAAACTTAAAATTCAAATTGGACCGAAGAAATGGTTCAATGATTAAGAGCATGTACTGCTCATCTAGTGATCCGAGTTCTGTGTTCTGTTCCCAGCACCTACATCAGGTGTCTCACAACCTCCTATAAATACAGTTCCAGGAGTTTTGGGGGATTGGCCTCCTCTGGCTTCTGCGGACACCTGCACACACACACAGACACACACAGACACACACACACACACACAGAGAGAGAGAGAGAGAGAGAGAGAGAGAGAGAGAGAGAGAGAGAGAGAGAATCTGTTGAAGATCTCTTGCCTAAAATGACTAAGGTCCTAGGCTTGGTCTCAACACCTGCCCCCCCACCCCCACCCCATAGACACAGAAATTATATGTACATTGCACTATAGTCTATTAAGTATATAAAAGATTCATGAGTAAATATCTCAAGCACCTGGGTTTATTTTTTTCTTGGCAGGTGAGTGTGCTGGAGATTGAATCCAGGTCCTTGCATACGCTAACCTTGTGTCTGCCGTGGAGCCACACCCTAGCCTACACTCGTCCATTTAAAATATACATGACATTCCAGGCACATATGCCTTTAATACCAGCACTCAGGAGGCAGAGGTAGGCAAATCTCTCCAAGATTGAGGGCAGCCTGGTCTACATAATGAGTTTCAGGTCAGCCCGGGATCTATAATAAGACCCTGACTAAAAACAAATAACAAAAAAAGAACGAAGCAAACAGTACCAAAGGTGGGTGGGGTGGCACTTGCCTAATATCTCGGTTCTTGGGTGGTTAAGCCAGGTTTTGGTTGGCCTGGACTAGATTCTGTCTCGGCACCAACCAATCAAACAAACAACTCAACCACCCGCGCCTATTCGGGGAACCCAGGAATGTCTAGTGTGTCTAATTCTAGTGATGGCCTCCTCCATTTAGGTGTAGCCTCCTCCCTGCTTCAAGTACTCTTTCTTGAACCCAGCTTTGGGCACGATAAACAATTTTTCTACAATTGAGCCACATCCCCAGTCCCTCAGGACTTTAACATATTAATTGGTTAATTGTGTTTATGTGTGCGTGTGTGTGTGTGTGTGTGTGTGTGTGTGTGTGTGTGTGAGAGAGAGAGAGAGAGAGAGAGAGAGAGAGAGAGAGAGAGAGAGAATCTCTCCTTCCACCTTATGGGTCCCAGTGTAGAATGCAGATCACGAAGCCTGGTGCCCACTGCTTTTGCCCTCTGCACGATGTTGCCCACTCTGGCCCGGAGCTCTCGGCCCTTCTGCCTCAGCCTCCTCACTGCTGGGATTACAGATGCATTTCCTCCTTCCTAGGCTTCCCGGCCCCATCTTCTTTCTAGCGCTGGAGAAAAACCTAGCCCCTTCCACATGTTAGCCCATTGCTCTCCCACAGAGCTGCGCTCCACTCTTACGCGTCAACATTTCAAAGATTGTTTCTGGACCCCTTCTGATCAGGATCCAGTTCGGCGATGCCCCAGCCTCTTATGATAAGAATTACCGAGGAAGGCCTCGTTCTAGGAAACTCTGAGCCTGGCAACACCGAGGTCCAGGTTTCTGTTCCTGTCTCTCTGTGTCTCTGTGTCCATGTCTCTCTGAGACAGGGTTTTCTCATTAGAGCCCAGGCTGTCTCAAACTCACTTTGTGGCAAGGATGACTTTGAACCCTTGACCCTTTATGCTGAGATGACAGTGCCCCACACTGGGCAGGAATTTGACTGATTATTCCAAACAACACCCAGGTGGCTGTCATCCTGAGGGACACTGAGGAGACTGTGTGGTGCAGGTGTATGGCGCTGTCCTAACTGGAAGCCATGTTGGCTTCCTGTCCCCACACCTCAGTGCAGGCCTGGAGTGTGCTTCTGTCTGTCTGAGCTATGGAGGCAAGGGCCTCGGGAAAGAGGAGGGGAGGAATGGAGACAGTAGTGAGAGGACCCGGCTGGCAGAAGATATCACTCTGGACATTCTGGATTCCAGCCCTGGCTTAGCCACATGCTGCTGTGTGAGCCTGGGGAACGTTAATGCACCTCTCTGACTTAAGTCCTGGATGTTGCAACTCAGGTTCCATCCAGAGGTTTCGAGGGTTCTGGGAGCCCTGCACACCCACAAGTAGAAGCTGAGTTTAGAGGATTGGGGAAGCAAGGGAAGCATTTGGAGTATGGAGAAGGAACTAGGCTAGGAAATGGCTGGAAGGTGTGGGTGGGAGTTGCTACAGACAAGGGAATAAGGCACCAGGAGGGGTTGGGGCTAGGGGCTAGTGGCCAGCTTGTTTCTCTTCCCCAACATCTCCCTACTCCTCACACCCAAGGCCTGGCAGTGGACTCTGTGTGTTTCCAACTGGACCAAGAATCTCTCCACACTGCCTGGTGGCCGTGATCTTGTGCTCCCTGGCGACCTTGAGGATAATTTGCATCCTGGAGTTTCTAGGTCTGTGCACTCCTTTCACCCAGAGGGGGAGGTTTGGGCCAGTGAGATGGGTCAGAGGGAAAAGGTGCTTGCTGCCAAGCCTGGTGGCCTGCTTGGACCCCTGCCCCAGATGGTGGAGGGAGAGAAGCACTCTCCCGCGGTGTCCTCTGCCCCCCACTTGTGCTGTGGCTCACACTGCTTCCCTCTCCCAGGTAAAATGTAAAACCTAAAACAAGAGAGAGAGGTTTATTCCGTTAGAGTTCTGGGTGGGACTGTGTGCTCACCCAGAAGCCATTCAGAGCACAGCGCTGCCTCCCCCCACCATCACACACACCCCCTCTCCAGAGGGGGAGTGAAGCTGGGGGCCACAGAACAAG